CCATGCAGTTCCACAAGGAGGAGTTTCGGAAGCTAGCGGGTCGCGCCCTCGGGCGGCTGCACCGGTGAGCTGGGTGCGGGTCCTGGGCGGGGAAGAGGGCAAGGTCCGCAGAGGACGCTCCTGCCCACCCGGGCGCAGACCCAGAGATGGACGGGCGATACGCGGATGGTGGTGGTGGGGGGTGTCCACCCATCTGTCCAGTTTTCTCCCTCCGCCTCCGACGGCGCCGCTGTCCCTGGTTCTGTCCTGCTCGTCACCTGGTTTATTCTTTTGGCCCCACCCCACCCCAGTCTGGACCCTTTTCTCTGGGTCTGTACGTTCCCCTTTGTCTGGGTCTCTGAACCCCTGTCCCACGTCTGGGGCTCTGTTCACCCCTCTGCTCTTCGAGTCCCTTCCCTGGACCTCTGGGCCCCTCTTTCTGGGTCTCTAGTCCCCTTTATCTCTGAGTCTCTGTCCTCTCTGTGACTCTGGCTCTCACTAGATCTCTATCAACTCCCCTCTCGGGGTCTCTGCCCCCCTCTCGGGGTCTCTGCCCCCCTCTCTGGGTCTCCGTCTCTCTTCTTTGGGGTCTCTGTCCTCTCCCTGGGTGTTCATCCCGCTACCCTGGGTCTCTCCATCACTCTATCTCCTTCTCCGTCACTCAGAGCGTTTAATCTGAAGTTAAAGCGGATTGGGGCCCAGGGGTTCTCGTCCTTGGGGGCGAGTTAAGCTGGGAGGGAGAAGCCGGGGTATCCGGGGCCTCTGGGGGGAAGGTAGCTGCAGGCCCCACATGAGACCTCCCCAGGGATGTAGGCTAGAGCTCAGGGGACTCCTACCGGCCAGGGCGATGACCCCAGTGACCTGGGTGTCCCCAGGGCAGGCCGAGCGCCTCCCTCCAGGCCTTCACCCCCAACCCCAGCCTTGGCTCCAAGTCAGAGAAATTACTCATCTGCGGTGAGACCTAAAAATACCCGGCCCGGGCGGGAGGAGCGAGCCCCAGCATCTCCGCTGCCCTTCCCTGGGGCCCGGCCGTGCCCACAGCCCTGACCCCGGGGTTAGTGGCCCTGCGTCCATCTCACTAGGCCATGCAAGTCCTTCTCTAAGTCTAACGCTAGTCCTGCTTGCTGTAGATCACCTCCCGGCTCCAAGGCCCCTCACCCTCTAGTAACAGGGGAGATGGGAATGAGGGTGGACAGAAGGGAGGGGGCCGGAGGACGGCACGCGGCGGGGAGGCGGTGGGGAGCTGAGATAACCCCACCCCTGCTTCTCCCAATCTCCCAGCCCCTCCCCACCCTTTTTCTCGCCTCCTTTCACGAGTTTCTCAAAATACATCCGTGAGAAGTCAGGAGACAGAGGGAGAGACGTGCTGATGGAGGCGGGGCTGGGGGTGCTGCAGGGGAGAGGTGTGTCCCTCAGGCCCCCTGCCTCCGTCTCAGCCCCTCAGCCCCTCAGCCTCTCATCTGCGTCTGCCTTTCTCTCGCTGGGGCCCTGCCTTACTCTCACCCCCGGCCTGAGCTGCCTCCCAGGCCCCCGGGCACCCCAAGCCCAGCGCTCCCGCCAGCACAGTCACGGAGGAATCCTGGGGTTCACTGCGATGGTTGGAGACAAGGAAGATGCTCTGTGTTGGACACAACCCCCATTCGGTCCTCTAGACCAGTGGTTCTCAACCTTCTTAAGGCGACCCTTTAATACAGTTCCTCATGTTGTGGTGACCCCCAATTTCATTGTTACAAATTGAACATAATTAAAGCATGGTGATTCATCACAAAAAACAATATGTAATTATATATGTGTTTTCCGATGGTCTTCGGCGACCCCTGTGAAAGGGTCGTTCGACCGCCAAAGGGGTCGCGACCCACAGGTTGAGAACCGCTGCTCTAGACGAAGCTGGGGAAACTGAGGCTCAGCTGGAGAAGAGGGAGGCATTGGTGGCTGAGCCATCCATCATTCAACCCAGGCCAGCCCCTCCCCACCTGCGCTGGAGGCTGCGGGTTTTCCTAGAGATGCATGAAGCTCCAGCTCCAGTGGGTGGGGACGCTCCCCCAGATCAGGAAACAGACGTAAACTAGGTGACTAGGGACAAGAAGGGGTGGCGGGAGGGATGGAGGCGAGACCAGGAGCCACGGGGCCTTCTCTGTGTGCCTGGCCCTGGGCTGGTGATGCCGGGGCCAGGACGCGAGCAGGCCCCATTGCTCTTCTTGCGGGTGACCTTGGACGTGCTGCTTTCACTCTCTGTGCCTCAGTTTCCTTAGTTGTACGCTGGGAAGAGGAGAGAGAAGCTAAGGGACAAAGGGGACAGAGGTCTGGGGGAGCGGACAGGAGCCGAGAGGAGCAGACACAGGCCCCGAGGCGGGACCGCCTTGATGTTTTAGCTGCGGCCGGCCGCAATCACTTCTTGAGTTTCAGGGTCAAATAGCATCTGATACCCACCTGGGTCAAAGTCTAATCTCATTGGCTGACAGGTTCTGACGGGAGTGGGCAGCCCCTACCACCCTGTATGAGTCATTCCGGGGGCTCCCTCCCCCCTCTCTCCAGCTCTCTCAGGGTCTCATTCCTCACCCCCTGGGGTTGGTCCACTCCCCCACTCCCCCCTCCCATCCGTTTCTTACGGTTCCTCCTCCCTTCTCCTTAAGTTCTAGGATCGGGAGGGTGGCTGTGTTCTCGCATCTCTTCCACCGCCTCCCCCCAGGCCGTCTGGCTGTTCTCTCCTCCCCCGTCCCAGTCTCCCTCGCCTCCATCTGTTCTGGCCCCTTCCTGGGATCCAGCCGGATCCTCTGGCTGCTTCCCCGCCTCGGAGAGGAGCCGCACCTCACCAATCACAGCCCCAGCCCGTCTCCTCAGCATCCTAGTCTCTTCATCGTTCAACGCTCGGGTTTTCTGTATCTACAGCCTCTCCCTGGGTTCCTGTCCCCTGCCTCTGGTCTCTGTCCCCTCCCTTCTGGGTCACTGTTCTGCCCCCCCTTCTCCTGGGGTGGGTCCCCCTATCTTATTCTCTCCTTGTCTCTCTGGGTCTCTCGCTTCCTTCTGTGCCTCTGACCTTCTTCCTTAGCCTCCCTGTGGGTCTGTCGACACCTCTGGACACCTCTTCCCGCAGCCTCTCTGTGGCTTGGAGGTGGCTCTCCAACTATCCTACCCATCTCCGTCATCACAGCCTCAATCCCTGATCCAGAACGGGCGGGGGCGACAGGCTCGCTGGGGACCGAGCCAAGTCCCCCACCAGGGCCATCTGTCCCTTGCCAGGACACCACCCACCACCCCCCTCCCCATCTCCTAGGCTGACAGCCTGAACTCCAGGCTCCCCAGGGATGCCCGGCTGCACTGCTGGAGTCCAGGGTCCCGGAAGTCTCCCCACCCCCGAGGCCCTAGGAATGGGCTGCTGGTGGCTGAACGGAGTCAGCTGGCTGTCAGCCCCACACCTGGGGCCCGGGGGCAGGAGGGCAGCCATAGAGGCAGGGGGAGGGGCGTCGGCATACAAGCAGACGTGGCTGAGAAGCATCTGTTCTGCTGACACCTTTGCTGAAGCATCTCCTTAGCGCCTTTTGCTTCCCCAAATAGACTCGTATCTGGGGGAGGGGGCTAGAGAGAGCCTGGGCCTTGGGGTGGGGGGTGGGGCACAGGCTGTTGGACCGCAAAGGGTAGTGAGGGTGTAAAACTGCTGAGTTGAGAGATGGCAGGTGGGAGAGAAGGGACCCGAGGACTTGGACACCTGAGTCTGGGGGAGGAAGGGCTGG